AAACCCAGAATATCCTTTTTTGAGGGTACCAAAGAAACCAAAGAAACAAACAAACAAAAAAACTGTCAGTGATAATGATACCCACACATTTAATTTTGTCAATTTTACTCTTGTATCTTTATTTAGTACCTCTTCATTCTTACTAAGAAAAATTATAACATGATTATCTGTTTTCTCTACCCATAGCAAACTAGTAGCAATAAACCACAAGAAGAGAAGAGAAATGGCACCTAAACACCTAGAGAGGAGATAGAAAAACTATAAAATAGACACATAAGAGAAATTTTTTTAAAAAAGAAAAGCACTATATCACCTAAAAAATTTCAAGATATACCCAAAATCCCTCTGACTACTACATTTTATTTTCTCACATATAAAGATGATAATGCTATTATCATTGCCATTGAATCACTAAGAACAAAGTCCACTATTAGTCAGTATGCATTGTTGAAAAAGTGAGATAATAATATATTTTAGACAAATTTTTATACAATTGGACAAAATACTCTGGCGCTTGAAGGAGTGAGTTTAAGTAATCTGGAAATTTCATTTAGAGAGAAGATATTTTTGCCAACCAGACAGACAAAGGAAGCTCTATGTTGTTGTGCATTTTCCCCAAGGAAGGCCAAATAATATAAAAAAAAGTTATGAAGATCTGATATCCTTGGAAGAAAAGGATGTGTTATCATTAAATGTTATATAAATCCTTAGAGGAAAATAAAAGTTAAAATACTTGAAGTTCACCCCACAACTCAGCGCAGACCTCTGGTTAGAATCAAGGGCTTTCAACTGCCAATCTTGAACTTTACGTAAGCAATTTATTGGCAAAATCAGATGGTACATTTTTAACATAGAGAGGATTAATGGTGAGAGAAAGAAGATTCTAGTAGTAGAGACTACAGCTTTTTTGTTTTCATGTCATCTGCTCCCCACCTCAGATTGCTAGAGCATTCATGGGGTCTCCTACTTCTGGAGCTGGGAGTCCCATGCACTTAGTAGTTGCATATACTGCAGGGGTGCATGGTAATATCTGTAGGCTCTGCTATTATCCAAAGACTGAAAGAACCACCAGACATCGTAGATTCTCCTTATAGTCACAGCTAATATAAGCATATCCCACCCCAGGATTCAGACAGAGCCAAGGCTGAATGCTCGCAAAGTAACTTTGTCTCACTTTCCACCTACAAAATAAAAGATGGGGCTAGATTATCTTTAAAGCCTATCTCGATAGTTGTAAGATCCTATGAGTCTAAAAACAATTATGTTTATTATTATAAGTCATGACAGCTACTACTTAACAGTCTTCCAATTACATATTTTCTCAAGCTTCTTTGTAAATTCCCTATACTGGACATTACTGTCAAAATATCTGAAGCATTTCTATAATTTTATGGATCAAGCTTGTTTAAAGAAACAGAAAGGTGTAAATACCAGCTTTTTAAAGAGGCAGGTATTTTTTTCACATATTAAAATATATGTCAGAGGATATATCTGACATATGGAATAAGTCTCTTAAAATGATTTGAGACCAAAGGAATAATTAGTTACCAAAATATTACAAAGAACTGAACCAAAATAAAACCAAATAAACCAGCTACTAAACTACACGTAAGACCTTAAAATGTTATGGGAGTGAAATATTCTGGTAAAAATAAGACAAGAGATGGAAACATAAGTTTCTTATTATCACACTTCATATGTTATAAAACATAACTGCTAACTTATTTTTGGCAAAACGATTAAGGGTTGTAACACTCTGGCATACACAAACTTACTTGATTGTCAAATGCATCTTAAATGAAGCATGTCATGCTAACTTCAGGCATGCAAGCACTGTGTTGCCTTAGAGTAGCCCAGAGACACTGATATTTCAACACTTTGGCAGGGATCACACCACCAATATTAACTGGCCCAGGTGTTTAAAGGAGGGGGGAGGGAATTTCAACAATGTACTTAATTGAAACCAGATAAAGCTTCTGAATAATAAAAAAATCATACAGATGTTCATTGCTCCCCTCCTCCCAAAAAAGAGGCAACCCTTTGGACAATATACTGCACACATTATTTTCTAGAACATACCCTTTTAAAGAAGATAAAACACAGTTTCATATGTCTCTCTGAAAACCTTATAATTACAGTTTGAATTATGTCTCTGCAAATAAACTAGGTTAAGCTCATGTTTAATCTTTTTTCCCCTTTTCACCACTATTCCTGCAAAAGCAAGGACACCTGAAAGCAGAGTAATAATTAGAAAGTTACGAAGCTGAAAAAGCTGTAAGATATAATAACCTTAAGATGCACTGTATTTCTTTCCCAATATTGTAAATGCAAGCTCAAAAAAGGAAACGGACTCAAAACAAATGTGTTGAACAACTGTTTTCAAACACACAAAAGATAAACCATACATCACATGTAGAATAGGTCTGCAGCAAACAAACAAAAACCAAAAGAATCGATCTTTTGTGATTAAGTTAATAGACTGTGAAGAACTTAGAAATGAATATTTTCTTCCCTATGTTTATAGACTAGTAATGCTATTATTGCAAATGTGCAAGTATCCTATTTAATGTTTTGAAAGCTTTTAAGACACCTAGAACAACTAATATATTTCACATCAGTTTCCTACATTTAATTGATAGGACCAAGTCATTGCCTATACCAGAAAAAAATTCAGCATCTGAATTTTTATTTACCTATTATTCACACCACACAAATGAATTCTTAACTCTGGAGTGGTAGGGGAGGGTGCCTCTGACATGGCTCCCATTGACCTCCTAGTATTCATGCCCTTGTGTAATTCCCTCTTCTTAAGTGTAGGCTGGATCTAGTGACTTGATTCTAAAAAGAAAAATATGGGAAAAGTGATGGGATGTCACTTCCATCTTGCCAGCAGACTCTCTCTCTACCTCTTCTCCCAGGCTTGCTCTGACGAAGGGAGCTAGAGAGGACATGCTGAGGAGGGTGGCCCCCTGCCACTAATGAACTAAGTCCCTTAGTCCAACAACTCTCAAGGAATTAATCTGCCAACAACCATATGAGTGAGTTTGGAAGCAGATTCATCTCAATGCAAGTCTTCAGATGAGACTACAGCCCTGGAAGACACCTTGACAACAATCCTGTGAGAGATCCTTAAGCAAAGAATCTACCTAAGTTGTGGCCAGATTTCTGACCAGAAACTGTGAATGAATAAGGTATATCATTTTACATTGCTAAGTTTTGGGATAATTTGATACACAGCAGTAGATAACTAATATAGTAGTTAACCTAATGACTGAGCCAATGATTCTAATGTCATTTCCATAATAATAATAATAGCTAATACTTACATGGAATTTTTAAGATCCAGATGCCATTTTTAATACTTTATATAATTCTTCACAAATATGCTTTGAAGAACACATTATTTATCCCCATTTTTCAGATGAGGAAACTGAGTAGAGACTCAATAACTTGTCTAAGGTTACATAGACAAGAATGACAGCAAGTACTGGAACCCAGGAGTCCTGGCTGTAGAGCCAGAGCTCACAGCAACTAAGTTCACAGCAGAACCACTAAGAGAAAGGGCTGAACATCATAAGGCTGTAACCACATAACATAGTATCAGAGGAGATTTCAAAGGCACAGAAGACATTAGAAGCCATGCAAAATGCTAAAAGCAAAAATAAAGCTTGCTTTCTGATTAAGATGCTTTATCTAGGGGGAAAAAAACCAACAGAGTATTAATAGAAGCAATAATACAGTGAATGAAGTACAATCTTCAATTTACTGAAGTCCCATTTAAAATGAAAAATACACTTTCTTATAATCAGTAATAGAAAATTAAAAGCCTCCACATGGTATTATAAATCATAGCCAAGGAGGCTACAGTTATATTTTTCCCAAGAGCAACTGTAAGAAGTAAGCATGTAAAGCTCACGGGAAATAGAGGAAACTCCTATTGAGCTCTAAGATCCCATTAGAGATTTTTTATCACATGGAGGGAGAGAAGTTAAAATCCTAGGACAGAGAGGCCATGAAATGATCACTTCCCATCTTGGCTTCAGATTACTAGATTGAACAGCATTCAACGCTCCCACACACCCTGTACTTACACGAGACAGCTGGTATCACACCTATTGGTTAGTCTGTCTCCTCCACTAGACTCCAGGTTCTCTTACCTCAAAGACTGTCTTATTCACTGGGACATCCTCAAAACACAGCACAGTGCCTAACATATGGCAAGGGCTTAATATATGTTTGTTGCATGAAGAAATAAATTATCCTATGAATCACATCCATTCAATGGGTCATTTCAATGGAACACATTAGTGAAAGCATAAGTTTTTGTTTTGTTTTATATCCCTTGTAGTCACTCGCTTTCCTGGGCACGTTTAATAGGTCTTTGTGTCTCTAGTGCTTCATTTAACATCTGGCACACAGTGACATCTGATACGTATTTGTGAATAAATGAATAAATGTGTGTCTTAAAAAGGTAGCCAGGCTATAGAACAGGTAAGGATCCAGACTCATGACTTATGAATAAATAAAGATCTAGTGTTCCATAAGATTTGGGATCTAGTGTTCCATAAAGCTATTTGCCTACCAATAATGATGATGATGATATAATACATTTGCTTCCTTTTGAAAGGAGGCATGAATATTTGTAAAATGCTCTCCCAATAAAGAAAGATTCTTGTCTAGGTCTTCAATATTCCTTTTTTAAAACGACAGCAAGTGATATGTAACATAAGAACTCCAGATAACCTAAGATTCAAAGGCATTCATTTGGAAAATTCCTATCTCCTTCAGCATTATTCTTTGAAACATTATGGGAACTCCATGAACATGCACTCACATAAGCCCATGGTAATATGGACATAAGGACAAACGCAGTTTCCAAATATCTCCTTCTCAGTTCTAGTTATCAAGTAAATAAGAGACAAAAGAGCAAAGGCAAGCTGAAGAGGATCTGTGCAAGTACATAATCAAGCACCCATAGTCACCCCCTATGGTATACTTACTGAGAGTTCAGGGGCATGCTTCAATATCTGGAGACAAAAATAGCTGCCTATTGAATGGCCAATGAGCACAAGCTTCATTTCCTTTGGCACATGAGTTCTCAGGAAAGCTACTTTGTGTTCTATTTGACCACTCAGTCCATAGATGTCCTTAATTTCTTGAGCATTTGTATCTAAAAGCAAAGATATGAGCATATTTTAATTCAATAAGTGAAAGTAATCACTGTAAAAATATCTTTAAAAATCAACAAAAATGATGTAGTAGTAACCATTCTTCAAAAGCCTATAGTGTGCCAGCTATAGTATTAGGAACTCAAATTATACTGATCAATCCCCATAAAAACCTTATTATTATTATGAAGGTATTATTATTAATACCTTCATTTTATAGGTAAAAATCCCAATGCTCATATACATTATATTACAGACTAAGTCACAGACCTATTAAGTGGGAGAGGTGACATTCCAATCCAGGTCTTTTAGTCTTCAAAGCCAGGAGCTTTTGATTATTCAATGAACTAATGTTAGCTTAGGCCAGTGGTTTTCAAACTTGAGCATGTACCAGAATTCCCTGGAAGGCTTATTAAAACATATTGTTGGGTCTCACCACCAGAGTTTCTGATTCACTTGGTCTGGGTTGAGGTCTGACAATTTGCATTTCTAAGCTTCCAGGAGATGTTGATATGCTGATCCCAGGACCACACACTGAGAACCACTGGTTCAGGCTAACTTATATCATTAATAGACAACTAAGAAAGTCCATGACATTCCTTCATTATTTAAGATAATCTTTTGTTTGTTTAAAGAACTTAGACTGAAAAACTTAAGTAGAAATGTTATAAACTGTTCCTTTTAATCAGCATAGACCTAACCTGAAATATCCTCCCTTATTGTCACAAAAAATTGTTTTCTAGATTTTTCAAGAACAAATTAAAACTTTGCCTAGCTAATCCTCAAGAAAAATGAATGAGCACTCCTCTGTACTTAAATAATACTTGACTCTTTCATTGTAGCACTTCCACTGAACTTGTATATTGTCTATTTATATGTTTATTTCCTCTCTTACGCTGTCAGTTCCATGAAGGCAAGGTCCATCTTTTCATCTGTGTCCTCTGTGACCAGTGCACAGTGAATATTATTATTATTATTATTATTTTAGCGTATTATAGGGGGTACAAGTGTTAAGGTTACGTATACTGCCCATGCCCCCTTGCCCCCTGGAGTCAGAGCCTCAAGCATGACCATCCCCCAAACGTTGCTTTTGCTGGTGAGTACATGTGGTGCTTGTTTTTCCATTCTTGAGATACTTAGTAGAACAGGTTCCAGCTCTATCCAGGAAAATACAAGAGGTGCCATATCACCATTGTTTCTTAAAGCAATAGTACTGAATAGTCTTCCATGGTATACATATAGTATAGTATATGTATAGTACTCCATGGTATACATATACCACGTTTTATTAATCCACTCATGAATTGATGGGCACTTGGGTTGTTTCCACAACTTTGCAATTGTGAATTGTGCTGCTATAAACATTCGAGTGCAGGTGTCCTTTTCATAAAGTGACTTTTGATCTTTTGGGTAGATGCCCAGTAGTGGAATTGCTGGATCAAATGGTAGATCTACTTGTAGCTCTTTGAGGTATCTCTAAATTGCTTTCCACAGAGGTTGAATTAGTTTGTAGTCCAACCAGCAGTGTAGGAGTGTTCCTATCTCTCCACATCCACGCCAGCGTTTGTTGTTTGGGGACTTTTTGATAAAGGCCATTCTCACTGGAGTTAAGTGATATCTCACTGTGGTTTTGATTTGCGTGATTTGCGTTTCCCTGATGATTAGAGATGTTGAGCATTTTTTCATACGTTTCTTGGCCATTATTCTGTCTTCTTTTGAGAAGTTTCTGCTCATGTCCTCTGCCTATTTCACAGTGAATATTATTGACTGAAACATGAACTGACTAGATGATTTCTAAGGATGCTGCCAGCTCTAATACTGTATGAGCACAGAAAACTTCAATAGGTTTTCCCTATGAACATACATACAACCCAAAAACAGGGTGAAATATTTCAAAATATCACACTGTAGTCAACTGCTTCCTAAAATGTGAATCACCAGAACACTAAATGTCTTGCTCTCATGACTCCTGAAAGGTATTGATATAAATTATAATCAGTGTGGCTCATTCAAAAGGTACCCTAAACTCATTATGAAGGACTGTTCTTCCGTTTTGTTTGTGCATACTGTTTTTTCCTTGCGTGCTAATGTCTCCTTATTAATCTATAAATCCTAATCATCCTTCAAACTTGCAGCAAGTGTTATGTCTTCTGAGAAGCCTTTTTATGATTCATTATTTGGAGAGTAAAGTAGCCTTCCTTTCAGTTTCCACACATATTCTGTTTATCTCATACTACTACTTTTAATTTGCTCCTAGTTTACACTTCATGTCTTGCTTATCTCTGTTCTCCACAGTCAGATATCCAGTTATTGTAAAGCTTTTTATTGAGTCAATGAGGCTTACTTCTCATTTCTGAGGTACTGGTATTTCCCAGGTAAGACGTGTTCTGCCCTAACCCTTCCTTCCCTGGTCAGCCCAGAATTCATTCTCCATTTAAGAAGGAAGTTCAGCACAAAACAGAATTGGGAAGAGATAGAATCTGGAACCTGACTTTGCTAGGGCTTCTGATGACTCGAAATTCACACTTTTATTCATTAAATATTACAGTCAGGTTTGAATAGTTTATACCCTGCTTCTCAAATCACTCTACCCAAAAGTGATCATATCATTCTATGATACCAATATTTGATTATTGAGTTCTTTTTCAAAATACATAGTGTTTCAAAATGTCCAAGTCTTCCTTTCACTGGGATAGTAGGTGTAGAACAAAAATCAAGGGCATTGGAGATAAGATATCTAAATCCCAGCACAGCACTCCCCTAACTGTGTGCCTTGGGCAAATCTTTTAACCCGGGCTTCAGTTTCCTCATATATAAAATAGACTAATAATGCTAGCCTCTTAAGGCTGTTGTTTAAATGTCTGGCATAAACTGTTTGATAAATAAAAGCTATGATTGCTATCGTTTCACTTCTTGTCATTTAAGTCCTCCCCCCAAAATATACCAAGAACATTTACATGGTTAGACGAAAGAGAAAGAAAATGACCTAAATGCAATAAACATTTTAAAATTTCACTGACACCATTAATAAGATCTGAAAACATTATGTTTCAGATAAACTTTAATGAACATTAGAATTTAGAATATTTCAGAGGTAGATCTGACTTTACCTTTGGGAACAGCTTTGTAGATTTCCACACACACTACTTGTTAGTATTTACTGAAGTAATGAGATTAATGGAAAAAGTACTTTCTATAAATAAATACTTTCTATAAACAAATAAACAATGATAGAAATTTTAAATGTGCTTTATCATTTTTTAATTTTACTAGCAGATAAAATACTAGACATTATTTTACTAGCAAAAACAAAAGGTTAGGGGACTATATGCTTGACTATATATTTTCACTCCTATTATTTTGATATATTCTGAAAAAATGCTAGTAATTATTAACTTACTCTCCATAAAATACAGTAAAAATTACATTCAATTGTATCAAAATCAGGAGAATGTTAATATGAAAATCATTTATATCATTCTTTTTATAGGGAAAATGTACTCCAAGTTACAATCAACTAAGCTACATTTGGAAGACAATCTGTTTTGAAATTGGGAACTGTCTGAATTGACAGATAATCCAATTCACCATATCATCACCAATAAATAGTCCTAAATATGATACTGATAATTCTTTCGGAGAACCTGAGCCTATTTCTTAGACCCATCTCAATTGGATTCACTTCAATAGCTCATCTATCAATTCTAGAGGTTATTGCAAAGGTATATAGAACCTATTCTGAAGTAGTTTATAGAGAAATTAAATAATACCAGTATTTCACATTTACTTTTCATCTAATTATTCAAATTCAATGCTCCAGCTATTAAAATTGTTGTCAATTTTAAATCAAAATAGTACACATCCCTTACAGCCTTAGGACACAGGCAAATCTGATAACTATTATTTTCTTTCATTTTATATCAACTAAATTGACTACTCTGACAGAAAATAATGACTAATTGGCCCTTGGTAATGCTGAAAATACAGATAAAAATATAATACACTACCCTTGCTTTCAAGAAGGCCACAGTCCAGTAAGAGGAACTAGACATGGATAAAAACACAATTATAAAATGCTGAAGTATCTCAAGCATTTTGCTTGAGAACAGAACAAGGTTTTATTGGATCACAATAGAAAGGTAGGGGGGAATGGGCATTTATTGAAACCTTAAAATCTGTATCCCCATAATATGCCGAAATAAAAAAAAAAATAGAAAGGTAATGCCCCTTTGGATTCATAAAAAGTACTTTACCTTTCTCCAAGTTACCCAAGATAAATAACTAGAAGAGACTCTTTACTACATGCACATTACTATAAATATATAAATTTAACTACATATTTGAATCCAAGCATACCAGTCTAAATTGAACTATATATTTAACTATTATTCCTATATATGTATATCTAGATACACATTGAATATAAATGCATAAGTTTAACTATTTTCACACAAACAGTAATTATAAGTCGGTCCAGAGAATGGACAAGACTGGAGATTGGCACTATATGAGCCTCTGAGTCTGCAGACAGTAACTCTTGACATCTCACACCAGAACCTGCTCAACTACTAAACTCTTTCATCCTGGGCCAAAGCTGTATCTTAATAATAATTTTAATAAACAACTTACATGTGAAAATTAAAAGGCTAGAAACAGTATTTTACAAAGAATGCTTTGAGCAAGACGAAAATATAGTTAACTCCTTATTTAAAACACACAAAACAAAATCATATGTTGTTCATCATATATATATATATATATAAAACAAAAACTATAAAAAGAGACATGAAGTAAATTCATGATAGTAGCACTGGAAATGGGATACAAAGAAGACAAAAACTTTTCTGTATTGTCTCATTTCATTTTTTCTTTTAACAAAAACTATCAAAGTAATTATGGCAGTGTTAACAATCAATTGTGAGTAACAGAGTCTTGGACTATTACATAACTGTACTTTTCTATGTTTTTAAAAATTTCTCAAAATAGATTAAAAAAACAGGAA